TAACATCGTTCGAAAATTATTTAATAATTTATTAATTTTACAAAATTTAAATTGTTTTCGATAAGTTATGCTTAACGAAATTAAAAAAAAAAAAACAATATTCGAATTATTTTTTGATAAATTCTAAACAAAAAAAAAAAAAAAAAAAAAATGGCTGCTATACCTAAATTTATTTCATAACCAATGAAATAACATTTTACACAATTATACGTTAGTTAGAATTTGTATATTTACATCTATGTAATTGATTTAATAAATAATAATAATGATTTTGACACATAAGAACTGAAAAATTAAAAAATAATTTTAAATTAAATGGGGGACAAAAAGAAAAAACAACGAATGAAAAAAAAAATAAATTTAAAATTGTTGTTGACATTATGTAACATAGAGATTAATAAATTTTAATGTTATAAAAATTTATTAGTTTTATCATGTACTGTATTAATAATAATAATAATAATAATTACGGATATTTATACACAGGAATGTAAAATTATCAAAACTTTTTTTTTTTTCTCCCTTTTTTTTAGTACGAGAAATAATTGTTTAGATTTTCCTAATTATTGTTGATATTATTAGGCGTATACAAAAATTTATTTTTAAAAATTTTGCGTTTCGGATCTTTTAACGGGAAAATAAAACAGCATAAGAGTAAATAATAGCGCTCAATAGGTTAAATAATATAAAAGATAAAAAAAAAAAAAATTCATTCATATCTATTTTGGATGTTTTTAAGACTTTGTTTAGTGTTTGTTTGCAATCTAATGTTGTTAAAATATATGCCCAATATAATTAGTTTAGTTAAATTTATTGAAATTATTTTATTTCATACGATATATACTCAATATTCTTTCCTTTCCTTATACATAAAAATACTAATACAAAATATAATGATTAAAATCTTACCTGGTTTATAATCAGAATAAATCCTTTTGTATATATATATGATTATAAATAAATATATTTTGTTATTCGAGTAAAAATTCTTATTATAAATGAGCAAGTTTAATAAAACTTACTTTTTTTAAAGAGAAAAAAAAAAAAAACATATAAACAAAATTAAAAAAAACGTTCGTTACTGATTTTAGGGCCCCGGAAAAATTAACAACAATAAAAAAATTAATACTGCCAACCATATTTTTCGGTTGTTTATTTGTTTTTTTCTTATTCTATGACCAAAAAAAAATGGCGTCCATGGAAGAGAGACCGGGTATGCAAGAGATAAATTTAATGTCTCTTGCATTACCACAATTAAATCAATTAAAAAATCAATTAGATCAGGTATTTTTCATTACAAATTTTATTAAATCACTAAATTTTTTTAACGCAAATATGTCTAAAACATTTTATTTTTTTTTTTATTTAGGAATTGGGTGTTTTTCAAGAATCATTAGAAACATTAAAACTTGCCCAAAACAAATTGACTGAATCGAGCGAAAGTTTAAAAAAAATAACAAAAAACAGTTTGGATTCTGAAATATTGGTACCATTATCTGCGTCTATGTACGTACCTGGAAAAATCATTGATGCAGATAATATTATAATTGATGTTGGTACTGGTTACTATATTAAAAAGGTGCTCAATTTTTTTACCCATACTTTTCTTTATTTCATTTTTAACGATATTTTTAACTTCTATAATGTTATACATTTCATTTATTAAACATTACATACTGTGTTTTATATATTTGCAGAATATTAATGGAGGAATAGATTACTTTAAAAGAAAAGTAGACTTTGTTACTGGGCAAATGGAAAAAATTCAAGCGATTGGAATAGAAAAGAGTAAAGTGAGAGATGCAATAGTAGAAGTAATGGAAATTAAATTGCAAGCTCATCTACAGTCGACTGCAAAACCGGACTCGAAAATATCTTGTTCATTTCATTAAATAACTGTTATTGTGTAATAATTTGAACTTTTTAAATAATTAATTAATTAATTAATTTTATATTTATAAATTTTATAATTCATTTTTTAATTAAACAACTTTCTTAATTTAATAATACCGTTTTTCTCATTACTAAATTTTGCCATGTGTAAATTTAACAATTCAGCTAATAATTATTTCTCTTATAAAATTTAAAAAATAAATAAAATTAATTATTTTTTAAAAATTTGGTGTAAATTTATTTATTATTTATTAAAAATAAATATTAAAGTAAAAATTACTATGACTTCAATTAAGTATTTTTAAATACATTCAATTTTTTCAAAAAATTATTTTATAAGTAAATTTGATAAGAAAATGAAATAAATGTTGTAGGCTCATGCTGGATAAATTACCTCAAGGATGAATGAGTCAGAATAAATCAACGACCCACGCTTTAATAACATTTGATGGCAAAATATAGAATTTTATTAAACATTAGCGTTCATTGTCTGAGACAAATTTTAATCATTTAGTTGGCCGTGTTGAATTTAAAATAAATTAGTTAATTACAAAACAAAAACGGCAACGTCGCCCAAGTGTCATGGAGTCATGACGATGGCATAATAATTTTCAACTAATTTTATCTCTCTTGTTGTAATTTGTTGTTCCTTTTAACATTTAAATAATAAAAATGATTAGATTTAAATTTTAAATGATTGTAGGAATAAAAAAAAAATTTTTTTGCTTTAAATGGACGGTTAGTATAATTAAAATCAGAGTTTTTTGTAATATTTTTTTAAACTTGTTGCTCCTTGCTATGATATCTTATTGTAAAAGTTATTAAATATTCTCATGAGATTAGAGTATTAAACCTCCAAAATTCAAATTCATATAACATCAATATTTAAAAAAATTTTTTATTTTTAAATGACATATATTAATTTTAAAAATAATTTTTTTCCAGTAAAAACAATATTCATTCCTGATAAATATTTCTTATTCATTTTTTTTTTTTTAGGGACCACCTTGTGTGACAATAATCTTTCCAAAAATGTTTGGAAGCCTGACTGTAAGCAAGATTGAAAAATAAAGTAAAATAAATAATTTTTTTTTTTATCATTATTCAAATAAATAATTTTTTTTTTGGAATAAAATTTGTTTTTAGTGTACAAACTTCAACAAGAAGCTCCTCAGCCATTAAAAATTGAACCTCAACAGTATGTCATACCTAGATCAGAATTCTGCGATAATGATTATCACGGTCCACTTTCTAATGCAGAAGCAGTAAAAATGTTAACAAAAGAGGGTCAATATTTAGTTAGAAAAAGTTCTAGCAGTTGTGATAAATTTTTCACACTGTCATTGAGGTGAGTTTGAAATAGCTTAATTTCCTGTACCATGCTATTTGGATTCAAGTAGGATTGTTTTTGTTTGTTTAAGGTTTAATAATAAAGTTCACAATTACAAATTGTTTTACGAGAAAGGTAATTTTTTCGTAAAAAAGGAAAGACTTTTTCAAACTGTTTACGATTTGGTCGCTGATGGATTGGTTACTTTGTACATTGAATTACATGCTGGAAAGTATATAAGTGTTATGCATGGAGAGTGCAATTATGAAAGTTCCCCACATTTTACATTAAACAGAATGAAAAGAGAGAAAACAGTTCCTCCTGTTGTAGAAAAAGTTAAAAATTCATTAAACGAAGAAATCTGTAAAAATCATTCATTTAAAGTTCATAATTTCAAAGGATTGAATTGGTGTGAATTTTGTGGTAATTTTTTATGGGGTTTCACTGCTCAAGGAGTTAAATGTGAAGGTATTTATTTTAATAAATTACTATTTAAGAAACTTTAATAAGTTAATCATACTTAAAGTTCATAATTTGAAAAGATTGAAATCAGAATCAAGTCGATTTTTTTTTTTTAAATTTAGATTGTGGATTCATAGCTCATAATAAATGCTCAGAAAAAGTTCCTAAAGATTGCTGTCCAGATTTAAAACAAAGTAGAGGAGTTTTCGGAATTGATTTGGAAACTCTTGCCAAATCCCACCAAACCCTAAGGCCTTTCGTAATTGATAAATGCATACAAGAAATAGAAAGAAGAGGCGTTAATGTTGAAGGATTGTATAGAGTATCAGGATTTTCAGAAGAAGTCGAATCATTAAAAATGGCTTTCGATAAAGGTAATGAATTATTTTACATTTGTCATTTGTAAACACTTAAAAAGAATGTCATCATTTTTTCTTAAATTTATTTTTTTTAAAGATGGAGAAAAGGCGGATTTAAGCCCTGCCGTTTATGACAACATTCACGTTTTGACCGGTGCTTTAAAATTGTATTTAAGATTATTGCCAATACCTCTTGTTACTTATGATATTCATCCAATATTAATAAAAGCTTTAAGTAAGTTAAAAACTATTTTATTATTCATTTCCGTTTTGTGAAACTTGTCAATATTAATTGAAAAAAATATGTGTTTTCAGAACAATCTTCGGAAAGTGAAGAAATAAAAACTATAAGAAACGCTTTAAATATGCTTCCTCCTGCTCATTATGAAACATTAAAGTACCTGATCAAACATCTACACAAAGTTGTCGAAAGACACGAGTTTACTAAAATGACGACTTTAAACATGGCGACGGTTTTCGCTCCGACATTAATGCCGGTACCTGATCTCAGTAAAGGTATCCCATCGGTGGTAAACGAAATAACCACATTGGAAAAATAATAACTCATCACCTCGTTATTTTTACGTAAACGAATTTCTGTTTTTTTTTTTTTTGTTAACGTTTTATTATTTTTAATTTTTTTATTATTATTAATATTATTATTGTTGTAAGTCGGTAATAAATATTTAACTATTATTATTATTATTATTTTATGTAAAGAAACCGTAATAATTTACCGATTTTACTATTATTATTATTATTATTATTCCTATTGTATTTTATAAGTTATGAGAAATTATTTTATACACAATTATTATTATTATTATTATTATTTGTAATAAGAAATGTTGCACATAATAAAATCAAATTTTTTTTTTTGAAAAATTTACTATTATTATTATTAATATCATTATCTTTTTTTTTTAAAAGTTGTTAGAGACAACGAAAAGAATTTGGAAATGTATATATATTAATTATCATCAATCACTCCCTTTCTCTCTCTCTCTCTCTCTCTCTCCCCAAAGGATTTGATTAAACATTAAATTTGACCTAAATTTATAAAGAAATTGATATTATATAAAGAGAGAGAGAGAGAGAGAGAGATTAAATATATATAGTGACTGGTACAAATTAATCTTAAAAAAAAATTTTTTTAATGCGTAACCACCTACAAATATAATAAATAAATAAAAATTAAAGTTATTAACAAAGTGTAACGGTTATTGGTAACATGCATAATAATGATAATACTACTACAACTACTATTGATAGCTACAACACATTTAAATATTTATTTTGTGGTTTCTCAAACAACCGCATTTTTAAATGAGTAAGTTAAATTAAATAATAATTAATAAAATTTGCGGTTAAAAGTTAAACAATTAATTTCCTGAATTTGTTTTTTTTTTTTTTAATCTTAAAAAAAATGGCGACTTTTTTTTTTTTTTTGTCATATTTATAAAATTTTTTTTTAAGTATAATTCCATTAAATGAAATTAAATAAAAATTTTTTTTAATTGTTTAACTTTTATCGTGTTTTTTTTTTTTTTTTGTTTAAACAATTGCTTATGGTAAACGATTATCATTTGTTATAATAATTAAAAAAAAAGAAAATAGAAGGAAAAAAAATGGCTTCCGTTTTTCGTTTTTAAGCAATTTCAAAACTTGCAACTTCAGCTTAAACTGACAAAAAGATTATGACTACTGTGTATTGGGAATTGTGCAAAAAAAAAAAAAAAAAACTTTTTTTTGTTTTTCGGGGGGTAGATTATTTGTCTCATGGGTAGGTAGGGAAGGGGGGAAAAAAAGAATGAAAAATATCATTGTGAACTTTACTAAAAAAAAAATCAGGGAAAAGTGTCACAAAAAACAAAAGAAGAGGATTATTGTTTCGAAAAGTGTGTTCCTTCATTCACCATGACAACGAACCAACCCCCCCCCCACCATCAAACCAATGGGGGAGGGGGGTTTGTGTTGAATTGATTCCTTTAAATGGAAAGTTTTTCCGACCATCCGGCAGATCATTTTCCTCAAAAATAACCATAATAACTTTTTTATATACAAACAAATTCTTACGTTAAAAAAAAAAAAAAATTTTCTTTTCTTATAGACCACGTTTGGAAACTACGGATGGACATCTTTACATATACGGAGCAAAAGATAAAAATTTATCATTTATGATTTCGGAAAATGGTTACATCAACGTTAACAATTTAAATTTGTATAAAATCGTTAAAGAAGCTAAAGAAGCTTCGACGGCCATATTAAATTTAAAATATACTTCGCTTACGAAATTAGAAGATGACGTTAAATATTTTACGTTGAGTTTAAATCAAATGTCGCAAAGGTTAAACGTTTGCGAAAATGCCATTAACAGTTGGCAAACGGTGAGAAAGGGGAGAGGAGAGGAGGGAAAATGAAAAAAAAAACCGGAAATTAAGTGTGATAAGCTTTTTTTTCCCTCCTTCCCCCTCCCTCTCGTTAACGCCTTCCTAGTGATATGATATCATTCATTTTAATCAAAATCTCATTTTGTAATTATATCATTTAAGCAACAACAACAACAACAACAAAAAAAAGAAAAATTTACTCCAGAAATTACTTTTTTTTTTTTATATATTCGAGCCCCATTAAATACGATAAAAAAAAAAAACACGACATCCTTTTTTTTCCTTTTTTTTCCTTTTTACCTTTTTTTCCTTTTTTTCAAATTGAAATTTTTTTCTCTCTCTCTGTGTGTGTGTTTTACCTTAACGGTAGTAAAATGAATTTTTTATTATCTTACTTAGCGTTTATTTTTTTCTCAGAATTTCTCTCTCTCTCTTATCCCCCACTCCCACCCCCTTATTTAATATAATAATAATCATTTTTTAGGGTTCTAATAGTAATGGAGTTTTACCTTTTCAATTTTTAATGAAAATTAATAAATTAGAAAGGAGAGTTAAAACGATTATGAGAAATTTAGCAAGACAAGAATGTCAAAGCGATCCTTGCATGAACGGCGGTACCTGTTTGGATAAATATTTAGATTACGAATGTAAATGTTTAGAAGGTTGGGAGGGTAAAATGTGCGAGAAAGATATTAACGAATGTGCAAGATTTGCTGGTAGCGATTTGGGTTGTCAAAATGGAGCCACTTGCATAAACAAACCTGGAATTTACGAGTGAGAAAATTTTTTTTAACAATTTTCCAATTTTCCACCATCGATCATCTTTTAAATAATTTTGGAAAATTTTTAAGGTGCGTATGTTCTGCGGGTTGGTACGGTTTACATTGTACAAGAAGATCTAACGATTGTAGTTCAGGTCCGCAAGGTGAACTGTGCGGTCACGGAACTTGTATAACTCAAACTACCGGAAGTAAAGGTTACACTTGCATATGCGAACAGGTAATGATTTGAAATTTAAAAAAAAAAAAATTTAAGGAGTCTCTGGAATAAATTCAAAATGTTTTTAAGGGTTGGAAAACGGATGGAGTAAATCCAGCTTGTAATATAGATGTTGATGAATGTGCCACGTTTCCCTGTTCCAGAAATCCGTTGGTCACTTGTCATAATATTCCCGGAAGTTTTTTTTGCGGAACTTGTCCACCTGGTAATTTTTATTATTTTATTATTAATTTAAAAACAAAAAGGAAGTAAATGTTAATTACCGCGTGATTTAGGATACACCGGAAATGGATTCTCGTGTTCAGACGTTAACGAATGTCTAATACAAAATGGTGGATGTTCCGTTCAACCTATGGTTCAATGCATTAATACCGAAGGTTCAAGTAAATGCGGTCCCTGTCCCCCGGGATATTTAGGAGATGGAAAAACGTGTACGTTTGTCGGAAAATGTCACGTCGATAATGGCGGATGCAGTCCTAATGCTAGATGTCAAGGTGATACCTTATTTCAAATCGGAAAATTTTTTAAAAAGGCACGTGAAAAATAATAAAACCTAAAATTTAAATTTAAAGAAATTGGAAATAACGTTCAATGCCAATGTCAACCGGGATATACGGGAACGGGAATAGGACCGTTCGGATGTGAATTGACCGGATCGGGAACGTTAAATCCCTGTCAACCGAATCCATGTAAAAATTCTGGAAGATGTTACGTGACTTTAAATCAAAATTTTACTTGCGTTTGTTCGGCAGGATATACAGGTACGCAAAACTCCATCGCGAAAGAAGAGGTATAACTAGGTTAACGTTAACAAGAAATTTCTTATTAACAGGAAGAACATGTTCGATTCGTAAGAATCAATGCAGTTCGAATCCTTGTCAAAATGGCGGAACGTGTATTTCAAGAGGAGATTTTTTTTTCTGTCGTTGTACATCATCATTTACCGGAAGATATTGTCAAAAAGAAAGACAAAGTAAATTTTTACATTTTTATATCAAACTTTAAACTTTATAAATTTTTTTTTTTAAACCGGAAATAAAAACTTTTTTAGGTTGTGGAGGTTACATGACTGCTGACGAGGGCGAATTACAATTTCCTCCTTCGAATTCTAGTTCCGTTAAATATAATCATAATTTAAATTGTGCTTGGATACTTATAGTTAATAGTTCTCTCGTTATTAACGTAACTTTTGAATATTTTGACCTGGAATCCGCTCCTGAATGTCAAATGGATTGGGTTCAGGTAACCAAACAAAAAGAAAAGTTTATATATAATTAAATTTAAATTTAGAAAAAAAATTCAATTAAAATTTTATTTTTTAAATTAGATCCACGATGGTAAATCTGCGGGTGACCACATAATTGGAAAATTTTGTGGTAAAAATCTTCCCAATAATGGAACTATAATTAGTACGACCAATTACATTTATATGTGGTTCAAATCAGATAGTTCGAAAAGCGGAAATGGTTTTAAATTAACGTGGAAAGCCGTTAACCCAGGTTAATTTCAATTTCGATATAATCCTTCTTTTTTTTTTTGTTCAGAAAATAAATAGTATAAAAATTTTCTTTTTTTTTTTTCTGTTAAGTATGCGGAGGAGCCGTTAATGCAAGCATACACGGAACGATAAAATCCCCAGGTTCTCCCGGTAAATATCCACCGAATAGGGATTGTTTATGGTTGGTAACGGCACCGCTTGGTAAAAGAATTTCATTTACATTTTTCGAAGTGTATATAGAATCTCATCAAAACTGCAGCTACGACTTTTTAGAGGTGAAAAAAAAAACTTAATAAACGGGATTCATATAAAAAAAAAAAAAAATCGAAAAACCGTTAAAAAAACAGTACTTTTCTCTTAAATTTTTATTATAACGTAATAAATTTATCCCCCCCCTTATCCCTCTCCCTCTCCCCTCGTAAAACACGATAATTTTTCGTTAATTTTAACTTAAAATTTTTTTTTTTTAAAAATAGTTTCACGAAGGTTTAACATTGGACAGTCCATTAATGGCCAAATATTGCAATACGACCATACCACAACCTTTAACAACTCCAGGTAACACGGCATTAATTTATTTTCATTCCGATCAATATCAATCTGACAGAGGATTTCAAATTGCTTTTCATCCCATACCAGGTAAGTAAATTTCCTCCCCCCCCTCTCCCCCTTTACGAGGTAATAAAAAACGACGGCGTAAAACAAAAAAAAAAAAAAAATTAAATCGTTTGTTGGCATTAATTTTTTATTTATTTATTTATTTAAACGACCGATTATTCCAATTTTTTTTTTTTTTTTTTATTGTTCGCTCGTTTGTTCGCTCGTTTGTTGTTTGTTTCGACAAACGCACGACAAACGAATCCCCCTTTTTTTTTTTATTTCGATTAAATTCTGATGTTAACATTTAAAAAAAATTTTTTTTTTTTTTATTCCAATAATAAATCAGGATATCCAGGTTGCGGTGGAATATTTACAAGCAGAAGAGGAGAAATATCACCACCGATGGAAGGAGGAAGATACATAAAAAATATGGATTGTGCATGGTTAATTAAATTAAATGGTAATTTGAGAATAAAAATTGAATTTTCAACATTTAAATTAGAAGATGATACGAATTGCAATACGGATTTCGTCGAGGTAAACAAACGAATACCTGATAAGAGTTATCACTTAAACAAACATTAATTATTTTATTAAAAAAAAAAATGGATCGTTTTAGATTCGTGAGGGTTCGGATATAACATCGCCATTAATTGGACGTTATTGTGGATTTAGAATCCCACCGATAATAGAATCGGAAGGAAATGTTTTATTCGTTAGGTTTTATGCAGATAATACAATCGAAGCCAGCGGTTTCCGGTTAACTTACAGATCCGGTAAAGACAAAAAACCATTTCCCTATTTTTATTAAAAGTGTAAATTTATAAATAACATTTTTTTTTATTTATAAAAAAAAAAAAAATTAAAAAGTTTGCAGCGAAACATTAACGGAAGAAAGTGGATCATTACAATCTCCCGGATATCCTACAAAATACAAAAGTCAAGAGGAATGCGTGTTTGTTATAAAACAACCGCCAGGAAAAATAATTCAATTAGAATTTCAAGATTTTGAATTTGAACAAATTTCCGTTTGTTTTTACGATTATCTTGAGGTTGTAGAATTTTTTCTTTTCTTTTATATTTATTCAAGTCGTTTGTTATGATACGACAAATATTGTTTGAATAATTTTTTTTTTATGAATAAATGTTCTCTCTCTCTCTCTCTCTCATTCATTTTTCCACGGTTATTGAGTGTTAAATGGATCGGAAGTAATGATGCGTTACAAAACATTCAAAAGAACATAAAAAATTTTTTTTACTTTCTTTCATTCGACAACAAAAGAACCTTCCCCCTCCCCCCTCGATTTATTTATCGGAGTTCATTTTCTTCTTCTTCTCTCTCACAACCCCCCCTCTTTACTATCAAGTAATCGTTTTACATGGTAATAATATCACGAATATTTAGAAAATTTTTTTTTTAGATAAGAGATGGACCCACAGAATCAAGTCCACTCATTAAGAGATACTGTGGAAGTGACAGGCCTCCGACGATAGTGTCCACACACAATTACCTATGGATAAAAATGGTGACGGATAACGATATCGAAATGAAAGGATTTTATGCCAATTACACAACGATCGATGTTTGTTAGTATGCCCTTTTGCATTCCCTCCCTCCCTCCCTCCCGCCATCTTGATTATTTTACATAAAATTATTTTTAGCTTGCGGTGGTATACACACCGATCCGGAAGGTGAAATTTTAAGTCCATCAGAATACGGTTCGTATCCACCGAATAGAGATTGTCGTTGGGCCATAGTCGGAAAACCCGGTGAAGTTATACAATTGACATTCAACACATTCAAATTAGAATTTCATCAAAGATGTCAATTTGATTTTCTTGAGGTTTTCGATAATAGTTCGGCGACGAAAGAAGGAGCTCTCATGGGAAGGTATACCTTAAAATTTTTTTCGTAAACGTTAATAAAAAAAAATAAAATTTAAATCCCTTGTCCGTTTGTTTATTTGTTTGTTTTAAAGATTTTGCGGAGAAGAAATACCGCCATTGCTCACGACTACGGGTCACATAATGACGATTGTTTTTCATTCCGACACGAGTCTTTCGATGGATGGATTTACGGCATCGTACAGGCTCGTAAATATGTCAACTCGTAAGTCTTACAACGTGACCTTTTATTTCCTTTTTTAACCTTTTACCTTTTCCCTTTTTCCTCTTTCTTTTTTTAATTGTAATTTATTTATTTATTTAGTTTGCGGTGGTAATTATTTTACAAATACTGGAATATTAAAAAGTCCAAATTATCCAAAACCTTATCCGAATGCAAAAACTTGCGTATGGACTATAAAAGTACGTTTAATTATTATTATTATTATTTTAATAAGAATATAAAATAAATTTAAAATCGAATAAAATTGTTTTCTTTTGTGTGTGTGCGTGTGCGTGTTAGGTCGAATACGGTAATAAAATAGCTTTGGATGTAATTAATTTTACGTTGGAAGGAAACACACTCGTGGAAAATCGTCAATGTTCTTTTGATTATTTGGAAATAAGAGATGGAGGATACGAATCGAGTCCTCTCATTGGACGATATTGCGGTAATAAAATCCCTAAAAGAATCGTATCACAAAGCAATTCGATATATTTGAAATTTAAATCCGATAGTACGTTTCCAAGCACTGGATTCTGGATAAAATGGGATGGAACGTTGACTGGTGACTAACCTTTTCTGGAATTTTAAATTTTTATTTAAAGGAAAATTTTTACGCGGATTCATAAAAATTCATAACGTTTTAATTTTTATTAAGGTTGCGGAGGTACTTTAACATCCGTCACCGGAAGTATAATATCACCCAACTATCCAGAACCTTACGGTGCTAATTCTCTTTGTTATTATAAAATAATTGTTGCTTCGGGGAGTAAAATAACCCTTAATTTTATGGATCTCGATTTGGAAAATTCTGGACCCTGTTTAATGGACTTTATTGAGGTAATTTGTAATCGAGATTTTAAATCCGGATTCCAGGAAAATAAATAAATAAATAAAAAATTATCTCATCTTATTAATTTTTCAAGAAAAAAAAAAATTTAAATTATTTTACAGGTTTTCGACGGTTTAGACGAATCCGGAAAATCTTTGGGAAAATTTTGTAGCAGCACAAATCATCCTGCGACAGTTACATCCTCACGTAATCAAATGTCAATTAAATTTCAATCGGATGTTAGAACGTCCGGAAAAGGTTTTTACTTAAAATATAAAACAGGTACGGATAAATAAAATGTGAAAAAGAAAAGTCTTTTCGACCCCCGAAAAATCAGTATAATAATAATAATATTTTTTTTTGTTTCCGCATTCTTTTAGAATGTAACACGAATTTAACCGGATTTCGCGGAGTCATTGAAAGTCCTAATTTTCCACAAAAATTTCCACCAGGTACCTCTTGTACCTGGGTAATAATGGCACCATTAGGAAATAAAATCAACATATCATTTTCCGATTTTCGTTTTGCTAGTTCTTGCAACGATGATTACATCGAGGTAACTTTTTTTAACGAAAAAGTTCTTCGTCGGTTGATAATAATAATAATAATAATTTTTTGTATTTAAATTTAGATTCAAGAGGGTAATCCAAATCCAACAAATACGATTGGTAAATTTTGTAATACGAATCGGCCATCTTTTATAGCATCGTCTCTCGATAGAGTTTATGTTAAATTTAAATCAAGCGAATCGAGTTTCCAGGGAAATTTTCGCGCCGAATGGGTTATTAATGGTATAGCCCCCCCCCCCCCAAAATCTCATTATCATTATTTAATTAACTTGAGTTTTCTTCCTTTTTTAAATTGTTTTTCATTTCAGGTTGCGGTGGAACTTTTATCAAACCCCAAGGAACGTTTAAAAGTCCAAATTATCCAAAAGTTTATCCTCCAAATACTTTATGTGAATATTTTATAACTGTTGATCCTTCTTTGAGTATAACCCTAAGCATCGAAGATATTAACATGGAAGCTCTTAGGGACTGTTTTGGAGATTCTCTCGAAGTAAGCAATAATTAAGCAACCGGGAGGGGGGAGGAATAAAAAATTATTTAATGTGATATCTTTAAATTTATTCGAGTATAGATTTACGGAGGTTCTGATAGTGAGGCTCCATTGCTTGCCAAACTCTGTCACAAGACTCCAAAACCTGTTTTGATCGAATCATCTGGAAATCAAATGTACATAAGGTTTAAATCCGATTTAATAACTGGAGGAACTGGATTTTTCGCGGAGTACACAACGAAACCTGCTTGTAACCTGATTTTTTATAAGTAAATTTTTTTTTTTTTAAAAACATTTCCGCCATTTTTTGTTTTTTTTAAATATAATTTTCCAGCTTGCGGAGGTATGCAAATATCAAACGAAGGTACCATTATGTCTAGAAATTATCCTAAAAATTACAACGCTATGGATAATTGTTTATGGATCGTACAGGTTGATATTAATCATAGAGTACGATTGAATTTCGAAGAATTTGATTTGGCTTCCTCATCACCGACGTGTAATGGCACTTACGTCGAAGTAAGACATTTTCAAATAATTTTTTTTTTTTTACGATTTAATTTCAACGAGAGAATAATGTCTTATATAAATAAAAAATAGGTATACGACGGTCCTGCATCAGGTTTTCCTCTATTGTTAAAGCACTGCGGTAACACCCTTCCAACTCCGAATCCGGTATTTTCAACATCTTATTATTTAGCTGTTAAAATGAGAACCGACAAAGGATTCACAGCCAAAGGATTTAAAGCTTCCTTTCAAATGGTTATTAAAAAATCTATTTCCTTTGATCGCGATTTCCTTTTACTACGAAATAATAATAATAATAATTTTTAGGAATGTGGAGCGGAACTCACAGTTTACGAACCTGGCGTAATAACTCCATCGGATTATATGCAAATACGTGTTAAATCGGAAAATTGTAGTTGGACTTTAATATCGCCCGAACCTGGTAGGTACATTAGGTTGGAAAATTTTTTCTCTCTCCTTTTTGAAGTTATTAATTAATTAATTTTACAGATGGTCACATAACTATGACGGTATCCACAATGGATGTGACAGATTCAGAAACGTGTAACGAAAATGCTTTGTATGCGTACGACGGTAACAGTCATAATGCGACACTGATAGGAGCCTATTGCGGAAGAAGAACTCATCTCCCGATTGTATCCCAAGGGAACGTTTTATTCATCGAATTAGATCAAAATCATTACAACACAATAGAATTTTGGGCAACGTATTCATCGTCGACGAGCGCTTGTGGTGGAGTTTTAAAAGGAGAACAAGGAAGTTTTGCATCACCCGGTTATCCAAAGAGTTATCCGACAAATTCCGAATGCGTGTGGTCATTACAAGCAGCATCCGGTAAAAAAAATGAGAGAGAGAGAGAGAGAGAGAGAGAGGGTCATGTCGACCCTTATAAATTAATTATTTTTAATTTAAAAGTATATATATATAAAACAGGGAAAATCACTTTTACTTACAGGAAACGGAGTGGAAATCAATTTTAAAACGTTTGACTTGGAAGAAAGCGAACATTGCAACGAAGAATATGTTGAAATACGTGAAAAAGAAATTTCTGGAAAACTTTTAGGAGTTTATTGCGGTCAAAATGCTCCCACAAATTTAACTGCTCACAATGCCGTTTGGATTAAATTTAGAAGTAGTAGAATGGGAACCGGAAAAAGAGGATTCCTTGCGGATTACACTCTAGGTAAAATGATTATTATTCTTTTTTTTTGGGGGGGGAGGGGGAATCCCTGGTGTGTATGTGTGCGTGCGTGCGTACAACGAGTTGTTAAAAAAAAAAACATTAAATCCGACGCCATATTGAAAATATTAAATTTTTCTCCTATTTAATTTTTCCTCTCGAACGTAATTAATAACTTTTGAATGTTTTCGATTTCCTTTTATTTAATTAATTAATTATTATAATAAATAATTATTATTATCATCACGAGAGGAAAATATCACGAATCGAAACTTGAAATTTTCTTTTTTCCATTTCCTCTTCCCCCTCTTTCTCTCTCTCTCTCTTTCTTTTTAATAACCGTATCGTAATCACATAAAATTTTTTTTTCTTTCAAAATGACGTCATTTTAAAATTTCTATCATCGAAAATTTGTGTGGGTGGGGGGGGGAGAAGAAGGGTATCGATTTCGAATTTAAAATTTTCCTCTTAAACTCAATAATAATAATAAAACAATTTATCGTGACGTCAAATATTTCTTTGTTTAACTTATGTTCAAAAACCGGAAACTAACTAACTAAAATCATTTTAATAGATTTCAATTAACCAATAATAATCGTTTTCTTTTAATCATCATCATCATCATTCCTTATTACTTTTTTTTTAAACCATAACGATAATAATAATAATAATTTATTGATTTTTTTTCTTTCGTTCGTTTATTAAAAAAAAAAAAAAAGAGAAACATTAAAAAGTTTTTTTTTTAAGAAAAAAAAAAAATTACTAAAAAGTTATTATGTTATTTAAGAATAAGAATAAGAAGAAAAGATAAGAAGAAGAAGAAGAAAAAAAGGAAATAATAATAATAATAATAAAGGTTTTAAATTTTTTTTTTAATAAAAAAAAAAACCTTTTTTTGTTCTCTCGGTGTGCTTTTATCAAAAATAAATTGAGCCGCAAATTAATAATTTTACCAAGTTTTAAAAAAAAAAACTTTTCCTCCTTTTTCTTTTTTTTTCTTCGTTCGTGTTAAAGTGAAAAATGAAAGTTTTTAAAAAAAAAAAAAAAAAAAAAAAAGTTTTTTAAGCACACTTGTTGAAAAAGTTAAAAAAAGAATTTTATTTATTAATTTGGATTTTTCCAGTTTTTGGAAACGAATTAACTGGTACGTCTGGAGAAATAGCAAATCCATTTTATCCGAATCCTTTCATGTATCATATAGATAACATTAACTGGAGAGTAACCGTTGGATTTGGTAGCGCCGTTAAAATAACATTTAAACAAATACACATGGATGATTTTTATTCCGTTATGTGTTTATCATCATTAACTGTAAGTTTTTTCTTCTGCTTTACCCTTTTTTTCTATTTCCGGTTTATATTGAGCAAAAAAATTTTTTTTTAAAAGATTTTCGACGGTTACGATGAAACTGCACCGAATTTAGTTAAAGTTTGCGGTTTGAATAAACCAGATTCCGTCGTATCGAGTTCAAATGTCGTTTATATCGTTTTCACTCATTCTCAAGTCATACACGGATCTTTATTTCTTCTCGAATGGACGGAAGTGACGAAACCCGGAAACGTCATACAAACTACGACGACTCGTATTTTAATTTTTTTTTTCTTATTTTTTTATTCTTTGTCGACGATTAACGATTTTGTATTGAAATTTGTTTTGTTTTTCGTTCCAGCATCCCTTTGCGGAGGATTAATCGATTTAACATCTTGGAAAAACAATTCCGTCATTCTTAACAATCCTGATTGGCCCGAACCTTACACTACGAATCTCGAATGCATTTGGGAAATCGAATGTCCGGATTACGAACATTTAACGTTGACGATAAATGTTCTTTCTCTCACCCATTATCCGAATTGTTTAAATTCTCATTTGGGTATATTTTCCAAAACATACGAAGGGGATTGGAAAGAAGAAAAAAGATTTTGTCAAAGAAACGAAACCGATGAAACCGTGTCTACTGCTAATTTTATGAAAGTCGTTTTTAGTTCCGGTTATTATGAAAGAGCTTTGCTTTCTGCAACCGTTCAAAAAGGTGAAGACATTTTTTTTTTTTATATGATCCATCTTTATGAAACAATCGTAACACCCGTTTGTTTGTTTGTTTGTTTTTTTCCGTAATAATAGCCTGTGGGAATTCGATAAGGAAAAGCAATGGCGTCATCAAATTCGACATGAAAGATTACACTATGAAAACATGGTCGAATGATAATTTTTTCTGTCATTGGGATATAACAGTAAGTCCAGGTAAAAAAATTCGGGTGACATTTAAAGAATTCGATTTGAAAACTACACCGCATCAAACGTGTACGAATAAATACGTTATGGTAAGTAAAAAGATTTCCGTTTCCGTATAAATAATGATAAAAAATAATAATAATTATTTTATTTAATCGAACGTAAAAAAAAGCTACGAAATGGTGGATCCGATGATTCTCCTTTACTCGGCGATGGGATTTATTGCGATTTTCCACAAATGATCCCTCTCACAACATCAAATAAATTATACATAAAAGCAAAAACTTCAAATCAAGACGCTGTAAGTATAAAAAAAAAAAAAAAGGTTAAACCTTTTTTTCCTTTTTTTTCTTCCTTCTTTCCTTCCTCTCTCTTTCTGTTTCTCTCTCTTTTTACCATTTTATTATTTCATCAAACGCGGTTTATATTAATGACTTTCCTCATCTTCCTCCTCCTCATCTTTATATCCTAATATTTAAATTGAAAGTTTTAAAAACTTTTCAGAGTTTTGTTATGAATTATGAGGAAATTTCACCCGATTGCGGGAGAAGAGTGAAATTAGATGAAAATTTTAATATAACCGTTATTTCATCTCCCGATTATCCAAACATACCGCCGTCTAAAATTGAATGCGTTTGGACTTTTACCACATCTGGAACTCATCGTTTACAAATCGATTTTCTAGAAAGATTCGATTTGAAAGTATCATCCGGGTATGCGCAAAATTTAAATCAAATCATCATTATTATTTTCCCCCTTTCGTCAACTTTCGAGTTTTTTTTTTTTTGCAGTTGCGAAGAAGAATATGTGGAAATCAGAGATGGCGGTACGATTTTAAGCGAAGAATTGGGAAGATTTTGTACGGAAAAACCAAGTTCCGTTAAATCCACCGGAAATATGTTATTCGTTAAATATTACACGAATACGACGAATCCTAAAAACGGTTTCAAAGCTCAGGTTTCTTTAGGTACCGAAGAATTCACGACTCTACTCTTTTGCCTCTCACATAAGAACAAAAATTAATGTTTATGTGTATAATTACGACAGCTCGATGCGGCGGCGTTATAAGAAGCACGTCTGGAATAATAACATCTCCAGAATATCCAAATAAATACGTTTACGACACGGAATGCCGTTGGGAAATCGAAACTCAACCCAAATTCAAAATTCAAATATCATTCGAGGATTTAGATTTACCAATTAATAAAACAAAAACGGTTAAAGCCGATTTGTCTTACGTGACGCCTCGTGAGTTTTCAAAATAATTTTTCCCCGTTAATAAAAAAAAAAAAAAAAAGAAAAGAGGAAATCATTAATTTTTTATGTTTCAGGTTTTCGATCACCCTTCACACCGTGGGTATCTCGATTCATGGATAATTTAAATCAAACGAATTGCACGTCTGATGCGTATTTATACGTGGAAGAACCCGGTCCTCCGGATACTTCGCCCCCCATAAACAATATGGCATATTTGTCCGTTTATCAAATTCTTGCATCTTTAAAAAATCCAAACGTCATGCTCGGATATGTTTGTAATAACGAACACGTGGTACCCATAAGATCTTCTGCTAATAAAATGATAATAGAATATAAAAGTGCTTCTTCTTCTTCTTCTTCATCTTCTTCATTGGTATCTCCGAGAGGTTTTAAATTATCATTTACATCCGTCGGTAGAGGTAAATTTTTTTTTTATTTCTTTCTTTCCCGCCCCGCCTCTCTTCTCCCCTCTCTCCACCCTCAAACAAAAAAAAATTCTAACCGCTTATATAATATTTAAATTTTTTATTTCACTTCCGGTTTGTATATATATGAACGTAATAAGAAATTAATTTCTTCGTTTTCTATCTTTCTCTACCCCTCTCTCTCTTTCTCTAATTTTACTTTTAAATGGATTTTTAATTCGATATAAAAAATCTTGTTTTAATATTTTATTCACCCTCTTTTGAATTTTTTTATTCACCCTCGGAATTTTCCGACAGGAAAAACAAAACAAACGGAACGTATAAATAATTTAACGAAAAATCAAAAAAAAAAAAAACTTTTTCCAACTCGGTTTCCATTAATTCGTTTGTTTCCATCAATCAATATTAAATAAAACATGGGGGGAAGGGCAAAAAAAATTCATATTTTTTATATTATTTGTATAAGAAATGTAAACAAGTGTAAGAAAATAATATGTGCGTGAAAGAGAGAGGGAGAGAGAGTGGAAACAACTCGAAAAAAAAAAATTTCCAGTGACGCGAATATTATTTAACAATGTCAACAAAATAAGAATGAGAAAAATATGTCAAAAGGTAATAAGGAATAATAAGGATGAGTGAGAAGACATTTGAATAAAAAATATATATCAGAAAAGTGACAGAGAAAGAGAGAGAGAGAGAAAGGAAAATTCTCCAGCATTCTGAATAAATAAATAAATAAATAAAAAAACATTCGTTATGAAAAATCTCCATAAGAATAATTAAAACGGACCGAAAAGAAAACGACAGCGTGAAACATTATTATTATGTAAACGCAACAAACAAACAAACAAAAAATAAAAATAAATAAAATGGAAAAACGAATAAAATTAAAAAAATGAGTTAAAGAACGAACGAACGAACGAATGAATGAATGAATGAATGAATGAATAAATAAATGCTCGAATGAATTTTCCAAGTATTAAATTTAACGCGTTTTCTCTCATTTATTATTATCTGTCACGGATAACCAAATCCTCCTCTTCCCTCCCCCTTCCCTCCCCCACTCCCCCCAAAAAAAAATTATTTTGATTCGTGCGTGCGTGCGTGCGTGCGTGCGTGTGCGTGTGCGTGTACACGCGCACATTTCGAGTTATTTTCATCCTTATTGTTTTTCCTATCCGTTCACACAAATTTTCCAGTAGATAAAATTTCGATAATTTTCTTCTTAAATTCATTAAAAGATTCATTTAAGTGGTAAATTAATAATATAATATCGAATTAAATAAATTAAATTATCAACAAACAAAAAAAACAAAGGAAAAAAAAGGAAAAATTTTGAAAGTCATTACACAATAAAAAAAAACTTTTCAATTCTCTTTTCCTCAACACGCGGAAAATGCACCCGCAGTTCGATAATAATAATAATAATAAAACTTTTCTTTGTTTGTGATTTGGTTTTTTTAAATGTTTTCGATCATCCATTGTTTTTCTCGATATAAAAAAGCCAATAATAATTATAATAATAAACGAGAGAGAGTTTTAATTATTTTTCTCATTCATTCATTCAGTCATTCATTCATTAATTAACGTTTTGAAAATTAGAACAGCAGAAGCAGGAGCAACAGCAAAATCGTTTTTTTTTTTATCCTTTTCGAGTTTCTTTTAATTTTTTACGAATCGGATTTTTATCATTATTATTATTAATTTTTTTTTTTAATTGCAGGATGTAATCATAGACTGGACACACCGAGTGGTGTCATTGTCAGTCCGGGATATCCTAACGAGTATCCAAATTATTATTTTTGCACGTGGAAAATCACGGTACCAAAAGGAAGAAGGATCACGTTGAAAGTCGAAGATTTCGATTTTCCGACCGGATCACTCGATCAACGCGTCATGGTATTATTATTATTATTTTTCGAACGCCTAATCCGTTAATAATAATAATAATAATAATAATAATAATAATAATAATAATGAATTTTTAGCTTTACAACGAGCATCGTTACAGGAGCAGGATAGCCATGCTCACGGATTCGACAAAAGTCGAACCTGTTTATAAATCATCATCGAATTTAATGTTAATAACATTTTGGTCAAAATCATTATCCGGAACCGGAAAACGTGGATTTAAATTCACGTACGATTCGGACGAACCACAAGGTAAATTTTTTTCAATAAAAAAAAATTTCAAAGGAACAACAACAACAACAATACTTTTTTTTTTTTTCCAGCTTGCGGTGGAATTCTCCAGGACAAAGAAGGTATTATATCATCTCCGAAAAATCTCACGAGTTTTTTTTGCAAATGGGAATTTCAAGGGAAAAAATCTGATAATCGAACCATCGCATTTTACGTTAACGATGCACGAATCGGTAACAGAACCGGAAGTTGTTCTATTAAATACGGTGCAGTTTTAGCCATTTCCGGCGTCGGTAAATAAATATTCATTTAACAAAACTATTTTTTTTTGCATCTCTCTCTCTCTCTTTCTCCCTCATTCGTTCGTAATTTTTTTTTTTTTTTAAATTTCAGGGCGATCAAATTATTTCCTATACGAATTGTGTGGTAACGTGACGTCATTAATAATAAGAAATCCCGTACCTTATACTTACGTCACGGTAAGTTTTTTTCTTTCTTATTTAATTATGTTAATTACAAAAACGTAAAAAATTAATTATTTACATTAAAAAATAGGGAATTCAAGGAGCCTGGTCCGGCATTGTAGATTTTAACGTGACTTACAAAATATTTAATTGCGGCGGAACAATTTATGATGCGGAATCATTAATTACATCCCCATCATATCCCAACAATTATTCACCGGAAACGGATTGCGCTTGGTTAATTACTCTTCCACCTGGTCAAACTATCAAGGTAGTAAAAAAAAAAACCGGAAATTGTAATTTTATTACCTAACGATTTTATAATAATGATAATTTATCATCGAAAAAAAAAAAAAAAAAAAAACTAGTTGACGTTTAAAGAATTCAATCTCGAACCGTCTTGCGATGATTATTTACTTATAAAAAATGGTCCATCACCGAAATCACCTCTTATCGGTCAATATTGTGGAACGACGGAAACGGATAAAGGAAACGTCATTTCGGAAAGTTCATCTCTTTTTATAGAATTTCATTCGAATTCGAAAAATCAAGGGAAAGGATTTAAAATATCTTTAGAACCTGGAAATTTCGGTGAGAAAATTCACAAAAAAAAAAAAATTTATTTTCGACTAGACGACGTCGTCGACGACGACGACGACGACAAAAACGAAGACGACATTATTAAAATTTTAACGTCGGATATGAAAAATAAAAAAAATTTTTTTTTTTTTTCCGGGACCGTTAAAAACCTTACTTCCGGCGTTATTTACTAAAATTTAATTACTTTAATTTTTTTTTCTCTTGTGTGCGTGAGTGCGTGCGCGTGCGTGCGTGCGTGTGTGTGTGTGACTAAGCGAAAAATATTTCTTATTAAATTAATGAAGGAGGGGGAGGGGGAAAGGAGAAAGAGACGCCATTTTGTAAAACGTAAGAAAAATTTCGTAAATTTATCCAATGATGAAAAAAAAACGAAGGGGGGCTGGGAAATTTCAATAATTTTAATTTTTTTTAAACAATAATACGTTTTACTTAAATTTAGATGAATTTCTTTCATCGGGTCGTGACCTTTCCTCTTTCATTTCCGAATGAATAACGGAAAATTTTGGATCCCGTAAAATGTATCGAAAAAGATCAATTTTATTTTATTTTTTTTCTTTTCGAGAAAATATTTTTTATGGAAAATTTAAAACTAACAAAACCTTTGACATTTTCTAAAAAAAAAATATCGATAATGATGATGATGATAATGATGATG